AGCAGTCCAGCTAATTCTATCTTTGGATTTCTTAACAGTGAGATTTTTTACAGGGTGGGCTAGTTAGCCCCATGCCCAACCCTCAACCTGGAGGACCAGTCCCCTGATATAATCCCCAGGGTACCCATTTTAGTCGCCTTTTACGACATGCATGAGCTACATTGGGACTATTCTTTCACACCTGGTCACCACACAGGTAACTCTTGTGCTTAACAGTAGGCAGTAGGTTTTTCCAATTCATTAAGTTTTCGTCACACAGCAATTTGTTCATCATGACCAGATATATTGTGCCCTAATGAGTCCTATAACAGTTTCAGGGTTAAATTTTTTATTGCAAGCCTGTTTCATTTTTCATTAGATAAATCTCCAATTTCTTTGCCTTAGCTTAGAATGGAATCTAGACTTTTGAGCATTTGCAACAGTTCCATGCAATTCTCATCTTCAAATATATAAAAAATAACTGAACATTTTACGTCAAGATTTTTTTTTTTTTTTTGTTGTATATTTCGGATACTACTTTCATTGTAAAATGAACTATTAAATTTCTAACAAAACTTGTCTTGTGTTTACATTAGATATGAAACCGTATATATATTTTTCTGAATGGGTAATATCCATATACAGATAATTCTTGTCATGTATTTTCATTTAAAACAAAAAATTATAAAAAGCAACATTATCTACTGAAACATCTCAGAAAACTTTTCAAGTGCCTGAATTACTGATTAATACTTTTTAAATAAGTTATTTTATTACAAAAAGTATTTTAATGATATTTATTTTGTAAGAAGCAAAGCTTAAAATAGAGGAAAAAATAATACATTAGAAAAAAATTTAGAGTCTGTGTTTCAGTATTTGGGGCGAGATCTGTGTAAATAAATTTTGAAAATGCAAGTGTGTGAAATTAAATGTGAGCCACTGTATATATTTTTCTCTTTTTAAAATAGCTACTTTAGGCAGCTGGCTGTGTAAGCAGCTAGTAACCAGAATAATCCAATTCACTATTATCATCTGTTGTTTCAATTGAACTAGCTTCAGTACGAGAGTTATTTTAATTCTAGTCACTGACCAAAATTAGATGTGTCAGTATTAAAATATAATGTGCTAACAACGAAAAGCTTGACCAAACATTAAAATAGAGCTCCAATAATCTAGCTAATTTGAAATGGAACCCATTTGAATAATATAAAGCTCCATTTAGCTTTTTTTATTTTTTATTATATTATTGCATATTTAAGCTAGTTAATGCAATCGATGAGAGAATTATGTGTTTTATGTTCATTTTATATTTTGTGTTGCAGCACAAATAATTCTAAAGCATTGTTTAGCAAAAATAAATCTAATACTGATGTATTTAGATTAGAGTCTCTAGTAATGGTTATGAATGATTGTAATGCTTGCACCATTTTGGTGATGTGTTATCGGTAAGGGGTATTAATTGCGAAGCCAGAAAGTTAAAGTTTGAGAGATACAATCACGGGTTAATTAGTTGTTCAAATTTATACTGGTGATCTTATGAAACATAAGCATATGAGGCTTTATACTAACATCTCAAAAGAAAATAATCAAACCAAATTAAACCAAAATTTTCTTTTAAGTGGACAGCATTACGATGCATTATGTTGTAATCACAGAGATTTTCTTTGTGAATTAAAGTACCATTTGGCAAATTATCAGGCAGTCTTTATACATATTTTGAAAGGATCTATTCTAGTATTCCAGTCACATGGCAAAATAGAGGTTAATCTAATGATCTGGTTTGGTTTTAGACAGAGTATAAAATTTCAGTTACTGTAACCAAAAAATATGAAATTAGTGAAATTATGCACCATTTGAGAAACAATTAAATATTTGCCAAATTGAAAAAAAAATTCATAAAATTAAATATTTGCAAAAATGGTCATGAGAATAGGGTCACAGTAAAATTGGTATCCTAATTTGTGAGCCATACTCTTTGGGAAATGTTCTCACGCTGAACTGTCAGAAGAAGCATTAGATTTTGTTATATCCTTGTGAAAACCAAATTGGCAATAAGAGGCAGTAAACCTTGTTCTTGTAAAGATCAGATGGTCTAGTCCAGGTCAAATAGCATGCGGCTGAATGCATGATCAGAATACAGCCCACTAGTCCAAAAAATAAAACATATTAGCAGCTAAATATCAATATTCCAGATTGATATTTATTTCAAATAAGTCTAATATCTTTATTTAATCATAAAGCAGGCTAGTTTAATTTAAATTAAACAAATTATAAAAACTTGCTAAGATTTCAAACTTTTAAAGTGAGACAAAACCTGAGAATAAAGGACAGCTTATTCACTTTTTCTAATTTACTAAACTTATTTTGATGCACAAGTTAAAATACAGATTTGTTTGAAAATAATTATAAATTTCGTATGTGAATATGAAATTTGTTTGTGTAATATCCATGCACTAGAGAAAAATTCACACTTATGCTAAAAAAATAAGCAACAAACACTTAAAGAAAGGGTGCAAATATAAAAAGGGGAATTAAAACATGCAGTTCACATAAGAGATGGAGTTTGCACCGCAAATGTAAATATTCAACCAAAATTAACATAAAATGCAATCCAGCAGTCACACCACAATGCCTTAAAAAAGCACATGCTGGACCTGTGTGTCAGTTCATAAATTGATAGTTCCATGTAATCCGAGATAGCCAAAGCGAAAAGCATGAGCCAGAGACACTGTTACCAGAGAGATCAAAACCCATGTAAAAGATGGAGGGCTGGACTCTGGAGGATTACCACTTCCTTTAGCTATGTGCAAGATGCCATAGATCTCTAACAGCATGACAGCTGACGTTGCATCTCGCTGCTACTCTTAGATTGCCCATATCTCACCAAACTGTGTCGCATTGACTGCATGAAGGTGTAATATGCCCGACCCCTTAGATTTAAGTTTCTTTGTCTCCATCGTAGGTCAGAGCACGGATGAATCGGGCCCATGAACATGGCAGTTGAACACAAGACTGGTAGGGCTTACTGTCGGATGCCAAACGTTATCGAAAGAGATCGTTATAGAAAAGGAGGCTTACCTACATGTATGGATAGCAACAAGCCACTGCACCGATCTAAGTGATTCCTGGTGGTTCTGTCACAGCAGTCTGATGTTGCTACGAAATTCTACTTTATAGAGAAGGAGGCTTACTTACATGTATGGATAGCAACGAGCCACTGTATCGATTTAAGTGATTCCTGGTGGTTCGGTCACAGCAGTCTGATGTTGCAACGAAATTCTACACCCTCTTATGTGTCCTTTTATCGCTGCAGTGGGAGCCAACACAATATTTATGGATGGTAATGTCTATCCACATAGAGCTTGAGTGGTGCAAAGTTACTTTGGAGAGTGAAGCCATTTCGCATCTGTGCGGCCTGCTAGATAACCGGACCTAAATCCCTTGGAGCATGTTGGGATGATGAATTGCAGGTAGCAATGTACTGTCAGGCACCCTCCACATGCTTCGATTGCATGGACATGCTACATTAATGAGCAATATTGCTACAACAAGCAATCAACACTATTGCCAGCTTGGCTCGCCATTGTCAAGCATGCATTTCAGCTAGATGGAATCATACCTATTATTAACACAGTGTTTCTATTGCACATTCTAACTTATTTGGTCTTTCGTGATGTGATGATCTTAATATGTACATTTTGTATATCTTTGCATTATTGTTTGCTCTGTTGTCTAGTAATGCCACACCAACTTCTTGGCTCAATTTTATGCATATCTATTAAATAGTATTTGTTTTATTCAGTGTTTTGCCTTTGTTGCTTATTTTCTGAGCAGAAGTGTAAAAATTTTCATCAGAGATGTTTATGAGTAACTTGGTTCTTAGTAATATTCGCACTTGAAAAAAATGCTGTACATATATAAATGTACTCCTAAACAAAATGATTAACTTATTGCAAAATTTCATAACTGATGTTACTTATTTTTTTAATAAGTGCAAATAAAAGTGAATCGAATTTTTTTGGTGAAAATTATTTATTAAATGCATTTCATTGCAGAAATAATAAAAAATCTATTTTCAGATAAGCTGCTTTTAGTAATTTTTGTCCTTCAGCAGCTTCACGTATGCATCATCATTATTATTATTATTATTTTTTTTTTTCATTTTCTTCTACTGCCCTGGAAGAAACATAATCTTGATTTCTGTATAGCAAAGATTTTTCCTGTTGGTGGATTAAGTGATAATGTTGACCTAGCCTCAAACCAGCCACCTTTCATTGGGCTTCTTATAATACAATTAACATAAAGCACTAGTAACTCATGATATTTATCATGTAGCACAGTTTGCTTAGATTGTTTGTAATGTAGTATAATTATTTGGAAGGTAAAATTAGAAATGTCTGTGTTAAAAAGTTTGCAGGAAATACTTTCCAATTTTGTTTGAAATGTAAGGAAATATTACTTAGTCACCTTCAATGTAACATGGGTGCAGTGCATATACCTGCTGCAGATGTCCTTAAAATCATTGAAAGCATTGGTAGAATGCGTCCCATGTTGGTCACAGATAGGCTTGCCATTTCATTGAATTGGATTTTGGATAATTTAAATAGTCTGAAAATAATGACCTGTCTAAATCAGACAGAACAGCAGAGTCAAAAGTTGAGAAATCTGGCAAATAAAATGATTCTACTTTTGTTTAACGAAATCCAAGCTTCCTTATTCAAAATGTGATATTGTGCCACACATGTGATATTGCATTTAACAGTGCTTTAACTATTTGCATTACAGATAAATTCTACTCTCCTAAAGGATGTTACTTGATACATTTTGTAGAGATTATGTTAAAACTCTTAACAACCTAATTGAGTTATTACAAGATTTATGCATGATTTGATTTCGTTTATGAATTTTTATAACAGAGGAATGCATATTGTGTAAATAATTTATTTTTCGTAAGTGATAAAGTAACATTTTGTTGTATGTTTGCTTTGTAAATCTTTATTTAATTAAATTTTCCTTTTCAGTTATGCGGACACGTGATCTTGAAGACTAAAGGCAGGGTGTTGTATTCGACAAACCCTGCCCTGTTATTTATTTCATGTTTCCAATGGTTAGGCATATTTGGTATTGTGTCCATTATGGGCACTTGTGGTTTTGTTTAGACAATGTAACTCATAATGAAGATAAAAGTGGGCAAGATTATGAAAGCCAAAACTTCTTATTCAAGTCAACGTGAAACTGTAGTAACATCTAGCTTTAGAGGTAAGTATATAATTAAAATATTTTTTAAATACATAATTTTTGAGTTTAAAATTGACATGTTTTATATTTTATATTTTTTATGTTGTATTGTTTTCAAAATTCTAACATCATGTACCTATAAAAATAGCTTAATTTATTTTGTTCATGTATTAGTCATTGAAAGTATTTACAGAAAATATCGATAAGCTATGAGAAAAGATTCGAGAGCTTTCGTACATAACAGATGTTATTTGAATGTTTTATGTTCAACATATTTGTTGAGTGATGACACAACACATGGTTATTATCATCAGTGCCTCAGTGAAGATAATTTTCTTCTTAAATAACAACAGTGGGTTATTTTTTAAAATAAATCTGATTTAAAAAAATTAATTCAGTCATGTAAAATTTAGGTGGCAAAATTCGTTCTTATGGTATCTGGTTGTCTCTGTGAATTAGATCTAGAATCGCAGAGTTTTTGTCTTAGATTTTTGACATTGAAATTTTCAGGAACGTTATAATTATTCAGCAATCTTTCCATTCTTGAGCTCATTGTGTAAATAATTTTAAAGTTTAACCTATATGAAATTGTGAAGTATAACAAATTTTATAAAGAAAAACAACTTTTTTAATGCTCAATTGCATAATGCTCAATTGCTCAATTGCATAAGTGCTGTTGAGTTTTGTAAGGAATTGCAATATTTTTTATTCAAATTTCTGAGTTCTTAAATTTTTGTCATACCTTCAATTTATAATTGATGTTAGCAACCATTTTTAGCAGAGTCTCTTCAGTTTTTAGGGCCATTACATAAAGTTATACAGCAGCACAAAACCCAAAATCTAGATATCCAGTATCCAGAATAATCTTGACATCTGAACCACCATCCAATAAATAAGAACAAAATGAGTCAAAAGTTTGTTAAAACTTTAAAAATTCATAAAAAGAGGAAGAAATTATGATAAAGAAGTACAGTTTGCATGAAACGGCTCACAAAGAAGTATAATTTTTTTTAGCAGCAAAAGATTACTAGTTAAAAATGTCACTGGTAGAGGGCACTGATGTCAGAGGTTAGCAGAATTATGCAAATAATTCTTGCAATAAAAGACTGTGATACACAAGAATTTCTCATTCGTTTTCAGAATGTTACCATTGCCCAAGCAAGCATTGTCAGTGAAATTGTTTATTATTTGAATGGAGAGTTAGCAACTGTTGTGTTGTAAAAATTTCGCATGACGAAAAGACTGAAGATGAAGAATGGCCCCATATTGTGTTCTGAAATACTTGTGAAATGGTTCGAAGAAACTGGCTCTTTGGGGATCGGCCATGAAGTGAAAGACCCTTGTTGGCAAAGGGATGAATTACCGAGGTGAAAAGTACTGCAAATGAAATAACGGTGCAATTGTGCACAGGGATTGCTCGCAAAGCTGTAAAGGTATTGGATTTTGTAGGAGCTAGTTCTCTATTGAAGAAATTTTGCAATTAATTAATTTTCCTGACAAAATTTTGGCCTCATATTTCATGCTCTAAGGAAGAGACTGAACTTTATTCCTCCAGCTCGCTCATTCGGAGGGCTATGGGAAGCCGATGTAAAGTCCATAAAGCATCACTTAAAGATAACAATAGGAAATTTGTGTTTTATGTATGAGGAGTTTGAAACAATAACCATACAAATGAAGGAAATACTAAATTCGAGACTTCTTACACCCATTTTTAATGATTATGATTGTTATGAAGTTTAGACCCCACACTATTTTATAACAGGGAGATCGATACATGCAATTCTTAAGCCAATGATAATAGGTGTAATTGAAAATCAGTTAAGTTCTTAGCTAGAAGATGCATCTCACTCATCGATTCGACGTATCCTCCTTGGGATATTGCATCTTTATTCCTACAAATTGCAGTCACTGCATGAGTTGCAACACCGGGAGACACAGTTATGAGAGAATCATTTGCCGAGAGGTCTATGGCAAGTATTGAAAGTGACCGTCAGTGGTTGTTTAGTGTTTTCTGGACGAATGAGACATACTTCACACTACACGGGATGTCATAGCCCAGAACACCTGTATATAGGCGACGTTGAATAGCTGTGAATATGCGATGCAGTCACTAAATCTAGAGCTAAGTTGGCAATCTAGTGTAGCTTCACCTCATCTTTCATTGTCGGTCTATACTTCTTTGAAGAACCTTGTTCTATATCTGGCCGGAAAACGTGCACAGTAACTGCTGAGCATTATCTCTCTCATTTGCATGACAAATTCATGCCCACATTAAATCAAAGAGACGTTTTATTTGTAATAAGCATTATGCAGGATGGCGCACCACCACACTATGCCAATCCAGTAACCTTTAATACCTTTAGTGAAAACAAAGTGCTCAGTCGAGGTTGCAAAATCGCATGGCCTTTATGATCACCTGACCTCACTCCCGTCAACATGTATTTGTGGGGTTGTTTGAAGTCACTTGTGTACCGTTCATCCCTTTCAACATTAGCCGATCTCAAAAATTCTATCTGTCGTGAGGTTTGTGCATTTCATTCCAATATGTTGCATTCAGCTGTAACAGGCACTGTGAGTCACCTTAGTTGAATTGTACGATGTTCTGGAGGTCATGTTGAATAGTTATTGCAAGAATAAATGAATGAAGCATACTGTTCATTGTGTTTCAGGTCCGCAGTGCCCCCTACCTACTATATTTTTAACTAAAAATTTTTCAAAAAAAAAAAAAAAAAAAAAAATCGACTTTGCTTGTGAGCCGCATTTCTTAATTTCTTCTTTTATGAATAATAATTTTCATCATAATTTCTTCTTTTATGAAGTTTTAAAGTTGTAACGAACTTTTAGCTCAACCTGTAAATAAATAAATAAAATAATAATAATAATAAAATCCTTTCCAAAATCTAGGAGTAGAAAATTTAATACTTAACGAAAGGAAACAGGTTTTGCCGCTTAGTGTAATTTCTGCAGGTCTTTAATTTTGCTGCCTGGTAACTTCCTGAATTCCAAAAATTTTTATGACCCTTAAATTTTGATACTTGAGGCATCTCCTAAATTAAAAAAAAATATATATATATGTCATAATAAAAGCAAAGGAAATAACGGAGCAGTGTAGATGCGTGATTAGACCCATATTGAAGAAGATTTTGATTGCGTAGTATTTAAAGAACTTGGCAGTCGAGGCAGTTTTAATTCCATTTTTATTTCCAATTGATATTTTTGTGGCCACAATCACTTGGCACTCCAGTCGTGCCTTTCCACAGAAGATTTACATTTTTGATATTGTTGGAATAGAAAGCAAGCCAGCGAAATCACATCTTAGCACAGTAGCGAGCAAAAGCTGAAGTGCGTAGTTATGAAAGATGGAAGCACGCGAATATAGAAAAGTTTTGGTTTACAATTCGGTGATTGGTTGTTAAGAGGCATCTGGTATTAACAGTTACATAAGATCGCATGATTAATTTGAATGACGCAATGCAGATAAGTTATTACGATTTTAGAATAGAGAGGAAGAATTAATGTTTATAGTTTAATCTATAATTTTGATTCATATATTTTTATCTTACATATATATATAAAATTTCTCATTTTTACTGCCTAGTGTTCCTCTAAATTCTGAAATTGCTGCCTGCTGTTGACACATTGGTTCTGGTGTTGAGCATATTAAAATGTTAGCATTCTTATATTTGAACTAAAGAGTAAGTGACCCCCGCCATCGGTTATCTGCAAGTCATCTCATTAATTTTAAATAGAAGAACTAAAATCCAAAATCACTGAAGTCCTGATGATTTCAGATCATAAACTTTGTATTGTATTACATAACTCTTTTATATATTATTCGTGTTTCATGAAAATATAGCTGTTACACAGGACATGAGATCTTTATTTTATTTAGTTAACAGCCTGGCTACTAGACAGTGTCCAGAGGACGTAGCATACATTTTTATTTTATTTATCCTTTATATAATAATTCTGGTTGTTGACGGGGCCGTTTCTAGGCCACATAGTTTCCTGAGTTAGCTGCCCCCAAATAAAAAAAAAATGCTCTATGTTTAATAAAATTTTTATTTCATACTCACTAAGTACTTACATATGACAAATTGTATAAAAAGTTCTTACATATTAAGTACTAACAATGAATTTAAAATATTTAGGCGTAGTATCTTGAGAGTCTGGCCACCCCTTATTTTAGCTGCCTGTGTACTTTCATGCGCTGCACCCCCACTATGAACGGCCCTGGTTGCTCAAGAGAGTGATAAACACATATCTGATACTGAGCTGCTTCAGTCTAGTTGACCACTAACCCATACATGTATTATCGGTTAACTTTCATGCAGTTTAAAAATACTTTTTAATTAATAATACGGTCAAATCTCGTATCATGAATTTCAAAGGGATTGGATTTTTGACTTATATCCAGTAAGAAAAATTGATTATCTTTGAAAAAAATCATAAAAGTTGTCTGAGGAATTGTATAAAAAGGAAGGAAGAAAAATTGTTCCTATCAATAGGTATGAATAATTATTCTGATATGGAAAAATCATATTACTATTTAATTATAATTATTGTATGCTGTTGATATTCTGGTTTTTTTTTTCCAACAAATGATTAAAAATTATGCAGTATAAATTACTTATTACGGTTTACACCCTGCTGCTAAAGTATGTATTTCACTTAAAAATATATTTCTAATGTTTATGAATGATAATTTTAAGCATAAAAATATAAATTAATAAAGATAAAAACAAATTGGTGAAAATAGTTTTGTTACTTAATACCTTAGCACAAAATTGTGTAATGTGCTGGTAATGACAGATTGTGGAAAATTTTTTCTATATTTTTATCCTAAAATTGAAATAACTGTTTTGTTTGCAATTCAACAATTTGTGTGAACAAAAGCTTATTAATTGACATGCATCAATCTTTCAGCATCCACAGCGTAAAGAGTTTGTTTAGCTGCAACTTAAAGCAGTGATATGAAAAAACTATCCTATAGTATGTGATCTACTGCTATTAGTTAGATG